TGTAGTCAGCTTAGTGGTGATATTGCTGTTTGTCTTTTCGCTTTCTTCGTACTTGCGAGGAAAGGTGCTCAAATTTGGCTGTTAAAAATTGCTTGCGACTTCTGATGAATTTGTTGCAGATATTGGTACGAAATGAAATCACTGGTCAGAGCTATCGGTTCAACTGTGGACGATGGTTTGGTAAAGGTGTGGATGACGGGTCATTGGAAAGATTGCTAGTTGCCGAAAAACAGCCACAGGTTTTTTTAAAATATCCCACTAATCTTAAAAATGAAACTTGTTATTAAAGACTGCATAGTGCGGATTAAACTCCGCTGCTTGTTTCCGTCTTTTACCATTGAAATATACAAATTTTTATCAGTTTTCTTTATTTGTGATTACCGCACGGATCTTTTGTTTTTAAAAAGAGTGCCAAAACCTAAAGCTATTAAAAGCATCGAAAAAGCTAATCAGTTCACAAAATGATTAGGACATTGCAATTAGGCAAAACTATTTCACAGTTTTACAGGTTAAGCTCTAAAAATGATTTCCATTCTCAAATCACCTGATTTTCTTCACCGTCGGTATTCTTCATCAGCGACTGATTTTTAGGGTGACCTTTTTTTCAGATGGGCCCAGGAGAGGCCTTATCGGACGAAAGCTCTTCAGATCATACAGTTAGTAAAACGAATACTCGAAGTCGAACTCCGCCGCGCTCGCGGTCACCAAGCACAAGCCGATCCGAATCCTCCAGTCATAAGTCTTCAAGTGAGTTTTTATGCAAAGCCCATTCTACATACAAATGTGAAGGAGTTTCATGAGCTTTTTACGCAAATCTCAAATACCAGAATACATTGAATAAATGAAACGTAGGTTGAAACGCACTAGACTTGCCGGTGCGATCATGCGTTTTTGCACCAGACTCAGGTCGTTAACTGCATATATGGTTGTTGCTTTACACCTACCTTTTGCGCTTATTAGCATAAAGCACCATAAATTTGGCATAAAGTAATGAACAATTCTCATTTAACGGCCGTTCTTTGAAAGTAAAGTGGCTATTCAGTGAGCAGTTTTCCCGCCAAAACTCATAAGTGTTCATACTTGAGAACCACGCGCATCTGAAGGCTGAATTTGAAACCTTTAAATTGTATTTGGACAGTAAAAATTCCCCTAAAATTTCAGCTTTTCTGATTCCCGAGTTAGTAATTTTCCAGTCAAAACTTTCACATCCCCGTACGTGAGTACCACGCATACCTGGACGCTGGATTTGAAATGTTTAAATTGCAACTGGACAGGGAATATCTCCATAAAATTTCAGCCTTCCAGCTTTTCTGGGTGCCGAGCTAGCAATTTTCCCGTCAAATCTTCCAGGTGCTCGTATGTGAGAACCACGCATATCTGAGGGCTGAATATGAAATATTTAAATTATACTTGAACAGGAAACATCCCCCCAAAACTTAAGCTTTCTAGATTTTCTGGTTCCCGAGTCAGTAATTTTCCCGCCAGAACTTCCATACGCTCTTACGTGACTACCACGTAACCTGGAGGCTGAATTCTTTTTCTCTCACGTGCAAATTAGGGAATATACTTGCAAAGTTTCAGCCCCTACCTTGTCTGATTCCCGAGATCGCTTTCCCGCCAAAAAATTTGCATATTTTTTTTAAGACGTCCATACGCGGGATCCAAGCGTAGGCGGATGATGATGTTAAAACGGGAGGGTCGCGCATAGTGTAGGCACATACTGCCAAAGTTTCAGCCTTCTCGGTTTTCTGGTTCAAGGGTTGAAAATGGGTGACAAAAAGTGCGAACACAAAGACACACACACACACACACACACACACACACACACACACA